CAGGGACGGGGCTTCTCCCCGCCCGGCACAGACCCCACACCTTGATGAGAAACCAGACACAGGGACTCACGTCTGCCCACCCCTGTCAGAAGGTGGGGTGCCAGAGGCAGCTGCTGAGGGGGACCCCGCCAGGTGAGGCAGGGCCAGAGCGGCTGGGGGTCCTGGAGCCCCTTTTAGCTGGTGGAGCATGGAGCTGCCAGGCAATGGAGGAGGTCAGGTTTGCTGGAGATTCCACTTGTGCACCGAGAGAATATTCTAGACCATCCTTGAGTGCTGTGCTTGCACACAGCTCTGTGCCCCCTGAGGCCTTGTGAGGAATGAGCCCCCAACTGCCCAATGGGGTGATACAAGGGCCACTCCTGGCCCAGGGGGCTACAGAGCCCGCCAGGACAGCAGCCTAGACAGGACCATGTAGCGGCCTGGGTCCTTCAGGCCCGAGCTGGAAGTGTGGGTCATCATGGGCACAGTGCTGTCCCCAGCCCTGGGCGAAGCAGCCTTGGAAGAAGGTAGGGGGTGTGGGGTCCCAGATGCAGCACAGGAGCAACGCACCAGTTAGTGGGGTGGGGTGGGGGGGCCTTCCTTCCTTGATGAATGGTCTAGCATCTGGTGTTCTGAGTGGCATCCAGTGGGGGGCAGCGCTGAGCCACCCCTGCAGTGATGGGTGTGTGGGGTGGGCGGTGAGTCACCAGAGAGGAACGTGGACCCCCGGGAAGGCCCGGAAGGCTGGTCCCCCCTGGGTGCCAAGGCCGAGGCAGCCGGAAGGGCAGCGGACATCCTGAAGAATGTGGAGGGGTTTCCACATATTGTCGTCCACGTGGGAACCCGCGGCCTGCGGGAAGCGGATGGCCTGAGGCTGCTGGGGGGACAGAGTTGTCTGGGAGGGGCCCTGCCTGTCAGCCGGCAGAGGCTCCTTGAGGAGCACAGAGGCCTCAGGGGCTAGAGATCCAGAGAGTGAGAGGCTCAGACTCTGGGGAGGGTGGGGTGCCTGGGCCTTGCCCTGGGTGCCCCGAGGCTGAGCGGACTTGGGTGGGCTGCCCGTGGGCTACATGAGTCCTGTGCTCCTGTGCTGGGCACTGGTGTGGGAGAGGCCGCCTCGGGAGGCCCCGGAGCATCATTACCCCTCTGAGGGCCGCCCGTCCGTGTCCACTGTCTGGACCATGGATTCAGGGGTGTCCCATGGCCCTCCTTTCCCTGAGCATGTTGGCCAGCCCAAGGGTGGAGGCAAGGATGCCCGAGGGGCAGACTTGGACAGCCGCAGGGTCAGGAGCAGAACCCACCAGGCAAGGGTGGAGACAATGTTCTAGAAAGACAGTACCGGTGTCAGGTTGGGGGGGCAGGACCGGTGAGGAGGTGCTGGTGATAGCAGCAGGGTGGGACCGGGCATTGGAGATGGGGAGACGGACGCAGGGAGCCAGGCCGGGCTGCGGACACAGGACGGTGACCCTCCAGCCTGACCGTGTGGAAGGTCCTCGACAGCTCCCTCAGCACAGAGCCTTGGGGTCTGCGGAGGCAGGTCTGGGCCTGGTGCGGGACTGTCTGCACCCCCTGGGGGCAGAGCCGGGCAGCACAGCCCATCCCATCTGTCCCCAGGGCCTGGTGGGCCGGGAAGAGTGGCCCCAAGAGATGGTAGTGCGGCTGCTGGCCTCCCCCGGCAACGAGGCCGTGGCCGCGCAGTGCGCCCTGGGCCTCTCAGTGCCCGAGGAGCAGCTGCCAGCCACAGTGGCTGCCGAGCTCCGCCGGCTCGAACTCCAGGAGAGGTGAGCACCCCCAGGCTCGGGAGGCTGGTGAGCGGAGCACGCCCTGGGGCCCCCACCCCTTGGGAAGTGATCCCATGACTCACATATGCCAGCACTTTGGGAGTGAGACCAGAAAAGCAAGGAGGGGGCACATGCCCCTGTTCCCAGAACGCAGACACGCACAGAGCAGATGAGCCAGGAGCCCGCACCCCTCCGCACCGGCCTCAGACCCTGGGGCTGGAGCCCACAACCAGGCCCCACACCCCCAAGGGCCTGAGGAAGCGGCAGTCTGTTGGCTGGGGGGGGGGGGGGGTGGACAGAGGCAGGTGGGCAAGGCAGAGAGAGCAGCTGTGTGGGAGGAGGGGCACAGGCGGGCACACCGCAAAGACCCCCCAGACGCCAGCGGCCCTCGTAGCTCCCCTTCCTCTCTGAGGTCTACTCTGGGCCCGGCCAGGCCAGGAGGTGCTGGGGTGGGGTGGGGTGCGGCCCCAGGGGCCCAGAGCGGGGGGTGGGTGCCACTGCTCCGCTTCTTCCAGGGTGGCCAGGGCGCCTTTGGAGGACAGGAAGGGTGATTATTACCAGCTGCCCATCGCCAGGGAGGACATCCACTTCCTGGCCTCTTGGGAGGACTTGGCCAGGCATGAGGAGGCGTTGCTGCAGGTGGGTGGCCAGCTCTGGGGCTCTGTCCACACCATGGACCCCCAGGCTTGGCTGTCCTTCCCACCCGCCCCAGACACCCCTGCAGAGCAGGGCACCCATACCAGCCCATGTGGAAGACCCTGGGCCCAAAACACAAGCATGAGACACTGGCCCCTCACCTGCAGCAGCTCCAGACCTACCCTGTGGCCGGGCCCTCGGCCTGGTTGCCAGGTTCCTTTGACCCCTTCTGTGTGGAATGGCGGGCAAGCCAGGGGCCAGGCGCGGTCCCGGTCATGTGGGAGCTCCCAGGGCTGGTCAGCCCTCCCAACAGAGGCTGCCTTACCTGGACCTCACACTCGGGGGGGCCCGGCTAGCTGCACCCTCCCAGCCCTCAGCCACAGCCCTGCAGCCCCAGCGGGCCTCACCTGCTCATAGCAGCCCCTCTCCGCAGCCCGGCCAGGTGGTCGGGGTAGACGTGGAGTGGAGACCCTCGTTTGGCACGGGGGGCCGGCCCCAGGCATCAGTCATGCAGTTGGCAGTGGAGGGCCGCGTGTTCCTGCTGGACCTGCCTGTGCTCTCGCGGCCAGCGGGAGGGCAGGTGTCGAAGGCCTTCTCCAGGCTGGTGTCCCGGCTGCTCTCGGACCCCTCCATCACGAAACTGGGTGAGCAAAGCCCCTGCCCGCCCAGGGGGAGGGTGCTGGGGCAAGGCCCCGGCCCCTTCCTCGGGTGCCTGTCACGCTGACGGCCCTCCTTGCAGGTTATGGGCTGGCGGGGGACCTTCGGAGCCTGGGTGCTTCCTGCCCGGCCCTGGCGCACGTGGAGAAGCAGCTGTGGGGCGGCCTGGACCTGCTGCGGGTGCACAGGCAGGTCCGCTCGAGGGGGACAGGGGGGCCCTCCTTTCTCTGCTGAGCCGCCTGCACAGCCATGCCCTGCGCCAGCTGGGGGTCTTCACCATGGGCTGGCGGGTGTCTGTGTGCCAGGATGAGCTCATGACCTCAGAGCACCTTTGTGTTGGCCGCAGGTCACCAGGCCCTGCCGAGGAGGGAGAGTCACCACGTGTCCCCACACTTTCCCCAGAACCAGCCCTGCTTTGGGCCCCTCTGAGTTCTCAGCACATGCCCTTGGGGGCTAAGATGTCATCCCCAGAGCTGACCTGAGCCCCCCCCCCCCCCCCCCCCCCCCCCCCCCCCCCGCCCCACGCAGCCTGCCTTGGCCATCCACGCCCTCCCTTCCACGCACTGGCGGCTCTGGAGGGTGAGGGCCTTCCCCAGGGCAGGGCCGCCTGGCACCGTGGTGGCCATCCTTCCTCCCGCACAGGCCGCTCATCCCTGAGGGGCTCTGTCTTGGCAGATGCGGGTGGTGAACATGCCAGCTGGAGGCACGTATGAGGCCAGGGGGCTGCGGGGCCTCAGCCTCCTGGTGCGGCAGGTCCTGGGCAAGCCCCTCGACAAGACGCAGCAGCTCTCTAACTGGGATCGGCGGCCGCTGAGCGAGGGGCAGCTGGTTTACGCAGGTGCACACCCCTACTTCCCCCACACCCCACACCCCTGTGCCCCCCACACTGGAGGCTAAGGCCGACCCATGCCAACCCCAGCTGCTGACGCCTACTGCCTGCTGGAGGTGCACCAGGCGCTGAGCAGAGAGCCTGCCAGCTTCTCCCTGTCTGAGGACCTGGCCAGGAGCCTGCAGCCGCCAGGGTGCAGTGAGAGACCCGGGGCCCGGGAGCCGCCCCGCCTGCAGGAGGCCTCAGCCCTGCCTTGGCAGGTGGGTGAAGCCCCCCGGGACCCCTTCAGAAGAGTTCTCAGGGAGGAGGACCAGATGGGGAAGGAGGCCTGGGAGGGGAGCAGAGCCCCGTCAGCGTCCTGGAGGAGGGGGGTTCCCATCGCTCTCCTGTCAGCGGGCTTGACGCGCTCCCACCAAGGTCCAGGGCGGTGTCTCGCGTGAACAGTGTGTCTCCCGAGCCCCGAGCCCCGCTGCATCGTACACAGAGCCCCCACCCCAGGAAACGTGTGGAGGCCCTGCCTGGGCCCGGTGCGAGCGATCTCGCATCATTGTGTTAATGTGTCCGTCTGCTGTGTTCTGCGTGGAGGCCATACTGCTCGCGATTCTCTTTCTAAAGGCTGAGAAAGAGCTGGCCACTCGGCCCGCAGGGCTCTCACTCCCCACGGAGTCCAGGGCGGGGCAGGGGCGCCGCCGGCCTCTGAGCAGGGCCGTGTTGCAGGTGCCTGTGGCCGAGCGCGAGGACGCCGCTCCAGAGGTCCCGGCCAGGGCCTTCCGCGTGGTGTGCGACAACATGCTGCAGGGGCTGGCAAGGAGCCTCCGCTGCTTGGGCGCGGACGTGCACGTGCTGGGCACCAACGAGGACCACCGAAGGGCAGCTGAGGTGAGCGTGGCGGGGCTTCGTGCCCACCCAGCTGGGGCTCGGGGCCCCTCTCTCCCCCTTTCCGCTGGGAGCAGGGGCTGTGTCTCAAGCTGCTGTGGTGCCCCTGCTGCACAGACCCAGCCCCGGGGCAGAGGGCAGGGCTTCCCTGGCCTGTCAGGGACACTGTCTCCAAGGACAGCGATGTTTGTGGCTGCCGGGCACCTGGGGTCTGCCGGCGGGAGCCCTCTCAGCTCCTGCAGGAGTGGGCCTGACCCAGGCAGACCCCGGTGGTCTTGCCCCCACCTCCACCCCGTTGTCCTGTGGCCCCTGGAAACACCACACGGGAAGGAGCTCCGCTCTCAGCTGTGGCAGGAGCCTGCCTGTGAGGACACCAGCCCCCGGGGCCGTGGAGAATTCCTGAGCTGGGGTCTTGGAATTCAGGGGCTTGTACTTGGATGGAAATCTTTTCCACAGGTTCATGGTGATAAAACTCAACACACAACTCACCCATCAGAGCGTACAGTTCAGTGGCTTTTTGTACATCCACAGTGTTGTGGGACCAGAACCACAACTGTCACCCCCCCCCCCAGCGCCACCCCTGGCCCCTGGCCATCCCGTGTCTGGCCCCGGGGGGTCTGGCCATCCCGTGTCTGGCCCCGGGGGTTCTGGCCATCCCGTGTCTGTTCCCAGGGGGCGGGGGAGGCTGTTCTGGAGTCTGGCTGTGCTCACTCGGCACGTTTTCCGGGTTCATCTATGTTCTTGTATGTGCCGTTGCTTCCTTCCTTTCTACGACCAAATAGTGTCCTGTTGTGTGAATGGATGGTCACCTGGGCTGCTCCCGGTCACGCTGCTGTAGGGGAGCACAAACATGGCTGTAATGTAGTTTTCCGTTAATCGTGGTTTCTTTTGTGCCTTTGCAAACGTCCTTCTGGGAACGGGTCCCCAGGCTCACTGGATGGCTGGCTGCAGCACGGAGCCCGTGGCGGCCCTGAGACGTCAGAGCACTGGGATCTGTCTGTGGCCCGGGAGCCCCAGAGCAAGCAGCCACCGTGGTTGCCTGTATATCACGTACTGGGTCCGGGCAGGGCCGGCCATTCGTGGCTCAGCCCCCCGACACATCCAGCACTTGTGGGTGGCTATTCTTGGTGTCACCCCCCTCCCCCCACAATGAGGAAGCTGAGGCCAAAAGAATGGAGCCTGCCCCAGGCTGCCTGCCCCTGCCGTTCGTGAGGGGTTGGTGGCGCTCTCCCCCATCTCTGGCCCCTCATCGGCCACTTCTCCCAGGGGCCTGTCCTGGCATTGGCCCTGGCCACCGTCCCTGTAGAAAACACCTGTTTCCCAGCTACGGCTGCTTTTAGCCTGTGGGGTGCCAAGACCAAGGTGGCCAGCCTGGCTTCTCGGGGACTCCAGACCACACGTCATCGGTCAAGGAATTCATGAGCCAGGGGGGCGGTGTCTTCCCACCAGCCCCCCAGAGAGCGTGTGATCGCCAGCAAATGGGAGACGGGGTTTGGCTCCCGTGTTCCTTAAACACCCCTGTTATACCTGTGCTTTTTTATATTGTGTGACAAAAGGGATTTAAAGATGTAATTTACTAATCAACTTGCAATCAGTCCGTAATCAAGAGAGTATTTCGAATCACTCAGGTGGGCCCAGCATCATCACATGAGCCCTTCAGAGCAGAAACAGGAGGCAGGAGTCGGAGTCAAGGCACAGGGTGGTGTTGCCCGGTGGGTCTGCCCCCGCCCCCAGAGCCCGGCCGCAACCCAGCTTCTGCAGAGTGGTGCTTGGGGGAAACGTTCCGACCGCACAAGAGAGGGAGCGCAGGTCCTGGTGGCAGAGCGTGTGGCGCTGCCGGAACAGACAGATGGACGGACGTGGAAGGAGCTTGGCAATCAAGGGCGGTTTGGGGCACCGGGGGAGAAGCCTGGCCGGCCTTGGTGGACCGCGGGTAGAAGGCGTTGAAGGTCACGAGACAGTGCTGCTGGGCCGGCCGGGGCTGGGATTCAGACCTAAAAACGCACCAACTTCAGTTGAGAGGAGATGCCCGGCCCACCCTGGCGAAGGCGGCATTTGTGGGTGGTCCTTCTCCGCGGTGCAAACCTGTGGACGGAGGTGTGAGCCAGACCCGGACCCTGCCCTGGTGTCGTACTTGCCGTGGACTCGTGTCAGCCATCCAGTTTCCAAAGTCCCTTTGACTCATTTCTGCCCAGCAGGCCTTTTGATCAAAGCTGTGACTGGATTCTGCATTTTCAGGGCCTCCAGAGTAGGAAGCTTCGCGCCCTTTTGCTTGTCTGCTGCCAGAAACGCTCTGGGAGGTGATGGTCTCGCGGGGGCAGGGCCTCGGGCACTTTCCAGAGAGAGCTGCTGGGTCCCTTGGCTGCTCTCCGTCCTCCTCTGTGGACCTTTCCGGACCGTGTGTTTCCTCATCAGAACTCCCACGAGGGAACTGTGTGTTCTGTATGCGGGCAGTTGTCCTCGAGGTCCCGCCTCCTGTACCGCTCATCTCGTGTGCTGCTAGTGCACGGACAAGCTCATTCTTGGAGGGAAACGAGGCTCTGCTGCTGAGGGTCCTGGGGCACGAGGGGCGTCCTCCCTGCAGGCAGGCGGGGTGCTTGCAGAGAACGGGGCGCCGTGTCCTGCGCTGGTCAGGCAGGCCCCCAGACCTGAGGCCCCCACGCAGGTGCTCAGGGCACATCCCGGGGCCTCCTGCTGCTTCTCGTCAAGTGGGAGAGGACAGGGTCAGCTGGGCGAAGGTCTCTTCAGCAAAGAGGAGCCAGACTGGGTGACGGGGTCGGGGGGGGGTGGGCTTCTCAGTCTGGTGGGACCGTGGAAGATGCTAAAATCAAGTGATTGATTTCCAAAGGGTGGCCGAGGGGAAGCCAGGTGCCATGGAGAAGAGGTCAGAGTTTGAGTTCACAAAAGGCTATGGAGGGCCGTGAGGGCATGAGGGTGCCCACCAAGCCCGAGTCCTCAGGGAAGGACTTCCCTTGGCAGAAGCCGGAATTTGAGGAGAAAGTCCACCCACCGGTGACAGCTCTGGGCTGTCTGTGCCTGTGGTGTCCTGCTGCCATGACCCGCCCCCGATGGGCCACCCGGTGGACTTCAGGTGCACCTGGCCAGCCACATGAGCGAGAGCCAGTTCCTTGTTTATGCCTCCGACTGGTGCTGCTTCTCCGGGCGACCGTAGCTCCTACAGACGCTGGTGCCAGATGTGGTTCCAGAGCACAGCCTTCAGGAGGGGTCCTCTGAGTGGGGTCCGGGGTTTCCAACTCGGTGCTCTAATCTGACGACCTTAAAAGGCAGTGTCTCCCACAGGAGACAGGTCTCTGGGAATCCGTGGCATCACGTGGCAAAAGGCCCTCAAAATCTTGTCTGCCCTGGATATCCTTACCAAATACCTACAGAAGAAGAGACTGGTGAACGCCTCAGGACGTTTTAGTCAAAGTAACCAGTGCGTGGAATCAGCCAGACAAAGTGGCAAAGGGAAGGAGTGGGCGTGGGCCTCACACTTCGTGTTCACAGCCCGCACGGGGGACTGCAGAGCTTCCGTATCTGCCCAGGAGAAGCCGCAGGCCTGAGATCGCGGGACAGCAGAGCCAGGGTCTGCGCCTCTGGACGGGCAAGTGGGAACAAGCCAAGTTCACCACTGGCACCAAGCTGTCCTCGCCCGTCCTGTCGGTGTGAAGACCTGTATCGTGTATTTTAATTCGCCGATCTCTGGTTACCGACCAAGCTGTGCTCACCAGCTGCTGCCACCTCCAGCTCTATGACGTGCTCGGTGAGGAAGTCGGTGGAGCGGGCCTGACGCCGTCCTTCGAGAGGCCCGTGCAGAAGCGCTTGGCCAGCAAACCGTTCCCTCGCTGATACGGCACTTTCCTGAAATGCTGAAGGTGGCTCACCGTGCCTGCAGCGTCCACACAGCGTGTGTTCTCTGTGGACCCCCCCGCCCCCCGTCTCTCTGGGAGTCGGCAGTTTGGGCGTAGGCCAGGCCGAGGTGCCCGTGTACCCGGCCCCAGTACAGCCCCTGCGGCTTTGCCTGACAGCCGGCTCTCCCTGCCGCGTGCCCCTGCTGCTGGGTGCACCCCGTGCCTCTAGCCCCTCGCCCGTGTGCCTTTTCACGTGTTCGTTTTGCTTCGTATCCTTGCCCCAGAATCAGTCTTTGCCATTAATGAGAACACATACGAGTCCTTCTAGTGAGCCAGTGAGCCTGGGGGGTTTGGGGACCCTGCCCTGGAAAGGTCTCCCCTGTCTCCATCCCTCTGGCTTTGCTCTTCACCTTGGCAGGAGGTGGGGTGAGCCCAGCCGCTCGGGTAAAGCCTGGAACTGCACTGACGGCCGGTCAGGTGAGGGGAGGGAGGCGGCCTCCCACCTCTCTGCTCCGGCCCTCTCCACTAAGCCCCACTGCCTCGCTCCGCAGAGCTCACCCAGGAACTTGGCGGTTTTGCCAAGAATTGATCTCACACCCAGAAGCCTGCTGAAAGTCTCCTCAGTTCTGCTGAGCCGGCAGTCAGGTCTCGGGGCCTCCTGCGGACCCACCGCCTACGGACAGCTGTCCTTCCTCCCTCTCCAACCCTTTCAGCCTCAGCTTCTGCCCTCTTCCTATCCTTCGCTCACTTGCGCAGAAGCGGTAGCCTCTTTGCCCCGCGCCCTCCAAAGCCCAGGGGCTGTTTCAGCACGAAGCCGATGCCCGGCTGCCCTCCCGTCACGAAGGAGATGGGGATCTGCCGAAAGCTGCCTCTGCAGCAACTGAGATAACCTCCGTGGTTGGACCTGTCTTGGCCCAGCTTGTGACCCTTTCCTATACCGCTGGCCTTGGTTTGAAGGTCTTATGTGGGAAGTGTGGGTCCCCCCAGGAACACGTCTGACACAGCACTGCTGCTTTCATCGCCCTCTTTTCTGGCCTCGTAAACACGTGGAGGCGTTTTCTCTCTTCCTGCAACTCGGAGTCATATTTGAATTCTCTTCTCCTCCAATGTTGGCTGACTTCCTGCGAGGCTTCCGGGCCTGGCATGTTAGGG